TCCAACACTCATGTCAGTCAAGTCAGTGATTCTGTGTAGTGATTGAGAGATTTGATGCATTACGGAAAGCATTTTCAACAAACTGCAGACAAGCGTCATCAACGGGTGCCACCTATGCTCACTGGATACTGAAGATGAGATGAGATGAGAAGGTGAGAGTGCATAAGTAACAATGAACTCACTGTAATTGGCTGGCAACAAACAAACCAACAACCTATCGCAAGAAGAGAATGAAATGATGACGTGCAACTGAAGCCCTATGTTTCACTAGGAACTCAAATGATAAATAATAATAATATTACATAAACGTATCTATTTATGAGTATACAGTTACTGGTTATCATTACGTGAATGGTCTCATATGTTTCGTTAATTATTACACCGCTTATTCGGCTATATTTCATTTTCATACATTCTTCAGTCTCATGGATAAGAAGTGTTGGAAATTATTCATCACACTTTGGTAAGTTTTAGAATGAAATAAAGTTTTATTTAATTTCATTCAACAAGGTACAAGTTAATTCTTAATTGTTATTCTTATACAACGTGGTTATATGCTTTTGGATTAAAAGTCTATTCTTGAGAAACATTAGGAACTTCTTACAACTCACGACTTTTATTTAATTGACATATGAGTAAAATATGAGCACTATGGTAGAATATATTTCATTTTCATTGATTTATTTGATTTGTTGGACAATGGAACAGTGTTGTTTACTAGATTATGCTTGAGACATAATCTATCGTCATTCATTGTTATTATTCATATCAAGATCTTGATAAGTAGTACACATCCTAGTATTATAATTTTAAGGCTGATATTGATTACATTGCTGATTTCACCAAACATGAGGAATACTATGAAGGTACCTATCATATAGTATCTATAAATCTAATTTCAATCGGCCATAACTTAAAAAAACATGAAAATATTCAACCAGGCATTACTTTTTTAGGTGAAGTAGTAGAACTTTAGCACTATAGACCAGAAAATTTCTATAATAGCTTGCTTGTAATGCCAATAGATTCAAAACTACGAATGAAACAGGCTGACTGGATTGAGGAAGTACAAATCATGTGCAGAAGAAATTGCAACGCTACGCATCCTCATAGAACAAAGCATTGAATGTCAGTCAAACCACTATCTCAACTTCATCGACTTTAGAAAGGCCTTCGACAGCGACAAGTATTTTAGCAGGCAACTGCTTCAACACTATGATTTTAGTGCCACGAAACTTTATCAACCTTATTCAACAACTATTTGAAGATGCCACATGCCTAGTATTTCACAATGCGAAGCTCAGTGATGCCTTTGAAGTCAAGACAGGAGAAAGACAAGGTTGCTGACTACTGTCACTCATGATCTCCCTGATTGTGGTGAACTGGATCATGCAGTAAACTAAGAGGAGCGAAAAGGAAAGGAAACGCTGGAACGAGGAGAAGAACCCAGAAAATTTAGATTTTGCCGATAATTTGTGTCTAATATCACACAACTCTGAAGATTTACAGGCAAAAAGTAACAAGTTGACAGATGAGGTGAGGCAGCAAATACGGGACTTCAAGTGAACGTAGAGAAGACAGAGGTCATCATGACACCCAACCAACGCCACAATCAACATCAACGAGAGAAATTTAAAATACGTAGCCTCCTTCATCTATCTACGCAGCACTCTTCCAACTACAGGCAGAGACACAAAAGAAAAAAGTCAAAGCAACCATGATCGGAAAGACAGCAACACAGGCATTCATTAACCTGAAATCAGTGTGCAGATCTTCTGCAATGCACTCAGCATAAAGCATAAACAACATCCAGATTCGCAACACCAACTCAGTCAAGTCACTGCTTCTATGTGATGGTTGACAGACTTGGCGTGTCACGAAAACTAATTCCAACAAACTACACACATTCATCAACAACTGCCACATACACCGGCTCCCTACTGAAGATCAGATGGCCAGAATAATGAGAATAAACAACAAGCAACTCACTCTGGTTGGCTGGCTGGCAATGAACCAAGCAAGAACCTATCACACAACAAATATGGAGATGGATTGGGCATACAGTGAGAAGACTGTTTGGGGAAATCACGTGCCAGACCAGTCGCTCGAGTTGAACTTAGATTGGAAATAATGAGTTGGGCATCCGAGGTGAGGTTGATATGGATGAGATGGTGTGAAGAAGAAATGAGAGTTTGTGGGCAGTTGTGGCGTCAGGTTGGAAAGATTGTAGAGAAGGTAGTGTAATAGAGATATGCTACTGAATCCCTATGTTTCCACTAGGAACCCAAAACATAAATAGTAATGATGTAATGCCAAACTTCCATAGATCGAAAAAGTTATTCATTATGAAATATGGGTTCAGAATCAGTATGAGCATTTGAGTACTTCATGATAAAACAATTCAAATAATTTTTCATAGACTTTTCCAAGTTTAGAAAAACACTTCTTCATTATTGATATTAATGATGGGTAATTGTTTGCAGTAGGATCCAGAGCGTCCTTTTTGGGGCTTTTTAGGTGGGTATCCCTGCATCCCAGTAAATGATATTGTTTCCACTAAGATTCAAAACCTGTTTAATTGGCTTCGATTGCCACAGCGTTATCTACGTGACTACCAAGTGAGGACATCCACTTCTTTTGTGATGACGCTATAGCTGGTAATTTCACGTCCTTAATGAACCGGCCAATATTGGTCGATCAGTTGCAGCCGATCAACAACAGTCCTTCCTTGTGAACTGATGCCCCATAGAAGATATTTCTAAAGCACGTTTGGCTTTAATGAATACATCTACCACGTAACTGGCAAAAAAGTCGACTATCTACATTCATATGACAGCTCCTTGAAGCTATTTGAAGACTTGTTTCAGTTTTTAAAAGATCTTTCCACATTCTTCGATTTTACTCCATATCTTAACAATGTCGACAAGAAGATATCTAATTTATTGAAACATTAAATTATATATTAATATAATATAATAATAATATATATATCTGCTCTTGTGGAGCAAGGTACATCTGCCGTAGCCAGAGAATGCTTTCTACACGTATACGAGAACATGTTCCTGCTTGGTTTTATAAAGGTGAAAGAAAGTCTGTTAGAAGTTCGATTCTAGAACATTTGATTGACTTCCATCACACAACAAATCCAGACAATGACTTTTTAAATTATTTATCAATTTCGCCCAAACCTCCCACGTTCTCTTCGTTTTCAACTACTTAAAACAGCAGACACCTTAGATATTCATGAACTAAGACCTGATCTGTGTGTACAAAAGAAGTATGTGCAGTCACTGTCTTTATCATGGCCACAACATTTTCCCACCCCATTAGCACCCCCTCCCACTTTGTTAATTTAACCCTTGTATCCTTCCTTTATCACTATTATTGTTATTATAATCGCCTTCACTTTACAACTGTACAGCTTGAAAATAAATTCGTTGAAAAGAGTCTCTTCGCTGAATATCTTGTTCTTTATATAATATCAGACGAAGTAAAACTTTTATGCTCATGTTGTCTGTTTACTTTATGTCTGTTTAGCTTTCTCCCCACTGAAAACATTCACAGCTGTGCAAATTTCTATCATGAGAATATAGCCGTTTATTTTCCATCTGCGTTAACTAGAAGCTTAGCTTAACTTAAGGCTTTTCTTTGACAAATGGTTTCTCTTATAACTTATATCACATTGAAAAAGTACTAACTTAAAAATATCTGAATTGATAGCTAGTTGATATGGTGAAATGAATAATATGGTGGTTACAGGTGAGTTATAGAAAGTACTAAGTAAAGATATTAATCTTATGAAAACTTCATGGTTGCTAAAGCATAAAACATAAATGAAGCTTTTATGGAATGAACAACTACCATTTCTGTATTAAGTGAAGATGATAATAATAAGGTGCAGAATACAGCTAACAGGGAATTGAACATCTCTACAATCTTTAGAGTATTTATTGAGAAGTCTCCGACTTACAGTGTTCAAAACTTCAAGCGTATAACCAGTCAGAATCTAATAGATGCTGCACATAAAACGCCTATTTCGAAAGCAAAATAATCCAACGTCAAATCAATTATTATAATCAACAGTTAGGCAGGTAATTTCATCTTGATCTTGGTATACAACACGAATCATTAGCTAGTTTTCCCTTGGTACCTAACGGTTATTATTATTTGTGTTTTGGGTTCCTAGTGGAAACATAGGGATTCAGTAGCATATCTCTATTACACTACCTTCTCTACAATCTTTCCAACCTGACGCCACAACTGCCCACAAACTCTCATTTCTTCTTCACACCATCTCATCCATATCAACCTCACCTCGGATGCCCAACTCATTATTTCCAATCTAAGTTCAACTCGAGCGACTGGTCTGGCACGTGATTTCCCCAAACAGTCTTCTCACTGTATGCCCAATCCATCTCCATATTTGTTGTGTGATAGGTTCTTGCTTGGTTCATTGCCAGCCAGCCAACCAGAGTGAGTTGCTTGTTGTTTATTCTCATTATTCTGGCCATCTGATCTTCAGTAGGGAGCCGGTGTATGTGGCAGTTGTTGATGAATGTGTGTAGTTTGTTGGAATTAGTTTTCGTGACACGCCAAGTCTGTCAACCATCACATAGAAGCAGTGACTTGACTGAGTTGGTGTTGCGAATCTGGATGTTGTTTATGCTTTATGCTGAGTGCATTGCAGAAGATCTGCACACTGATTTCAGGTTAATGAATGCCTGTGTTGCTGTCTTTCCGATCTTGTTTGCTGCGTAGATAGATGAAGGAGGCTACGTATTTTAAGTTCCTCTTGTTGATGTTGATTGGAGGTTGTTGTTGGTGGTGGTTGTGGCGCTGGTTGGGTGTCATGATGACGTCTGTCTTCTTTACGTTCATTTGAAGTCCTGTCAAAAAGGGAATCTATTTTCCTTTGGAGGGTTGAGTAGTCCTTGAAAGAGCTATTTACAGAAATTAAATACAACATTATGAACTGTTTTTTTAAAATTTCTTTAACTTACTCGATACTACTCGTTGGGGCGCTAAGATCTCCAATTGTGGTTAATGTTAATGTAGCCCAATAAAATGATTTTAAATATATTCTTGATATTGTATCATTTTCTCCATTATCACTTGGTTGATAACCCCATGGATTTTTAAATTTTTCATATTTTGATAAAAGATAATAGAATGCTGCAAACCAATGACAACCTAAGAATAATATATGAATTAAATTTAATACTCTCCATAAATTTGGAAAAATTGTTCTATTCTCTACACGAATTTTCCATTCACGACATCGATATAATTTAAAAAATCTTGGAAAACGTAACATTGGTTGTATACCAATTTTTATCTGTAATAAATCTAATGGTATTAAAGCAAATAAATCCATTAAAAATTTATATGATCTAATATAACGTATTGCTAATTTTTGATGATCACGAACTTTAAGTCCACATTTTAAATAACTTGTATTACATTGAACAAATATATCAATTAAATAGGTTATATCAGCCCATACATCTAAACTGAACCATAAAATTTGATAAGTGATTTGTAATTCTGTAAATGCTTGACGTGCTATCGGTGCCCATAAATTATACAATAATGCTAATGATACAAATGTTAACCAAATTAAATAACCATAACTATTTGAATGGAATATAAAATAACCAATTGGTCTTTCAAAAAACATTAATATATTATGCATATAATCTGTTGATATCTCATATTCATTACTATCATTATTATTATTATTATTGGTGATAATTTTAACCGGAGATTGATATTCACAATGTTTTTTCATATTAACCATTTGTAATTCAGATTTATTAATTAAAGTATCTTCTAAAGAATATTGAGGTGATGATAATTGAATTAAATGCTCATTTTCAATACATTTTTCATCATTTTCAGGTGTATGAAGAAACCATGTTTGAAACAATTCATCAGTTGGCTTATTATGACTATTTTTCAATTTATTCACAGTAATATTACCATTATTATTATTATTATTATTGCCTTTAAAACAAGCTTTAGGATAACATGATAATTGATTTTTTGATGTATATCATTTTCATGTTCTTGTGTATAAGATCCACGTCTTTGAGTTGAAAAACGATACATAAATGAATCTCTACGTGATTCTTCAGTTTCATATTTATTCTTTAATTTATTTGATAAAACAAATTTCATAGTATGCTTAACATTTTTCCAATTTTTACTAGCATCATTAATTGTTGATTTGATGTCTGGTGTATTGCATATAAACTGATTTACAGTGTTATTTGATGTCATAGTTACACTTTCTTGAGGTAGACTTAAACATTGAACATTTCTTTTTAGACCATTACCAGTTATTTGATAAGTTACAGAAACATCAGGCTTATTTAAGAAATTAGTAGACATTTCATATTCACTTGATGGACAATCATCATCAGATACACACAACTTAGTGTTTAATGGCTGTAAGTTGATTTCTGACATGTTGTGGAAGTTTATTTTGTTTTAATATATGTTAAAACATGGTATGCTTAACTCAAAATGTTCAGTGTTCTAATGCTTTCAATGTAATAAAAAGCTGAAATATGATTGGTCTTCTATACTCACCTTTTTTTATTGGTCAATTAAAGTGACCTTCAAATCTTTTAATATTTTTTATATAGATTATAGTATTTTCGTGTTCATTTGATTACAAAGGTATATTATATTAAGTTCACTATCTTACCAAATGGTATACATTCGTTTTAACTGATAAACGGAGTAAGAAAAGTCAATCAATTCACAGCAATGTAAAGAAGTTTAATGGTTAGATCGTTTAACGTTTAATATATAGTAAAATAAATTTCAACAAAAAACGTACACTATTTAAGTTGACCATTTACTGACAACCAATGGAGTGAACTTGATTGCACTTCATTAATACACAAGGGAAAATAGGTGGTAAAAAAAAGCAGAAAACCAACTTGTAGATTCAACTGAATTTTACTGGCTAGAAATCGACAATACCGATCACTTTACTGTCTGATTTTTGAACTCATGAATGATTTATGAGCGAGGCTTTTAACTGTCATGGTGACTGTTTTTATCAAAGTAAAACTGGACATATTTAGCCCAAAGATTTCAGATTTTGTTAGGGGCTATTATGGATCGGTTTCGTATCTGTTTTCTTATGAACAAAGTTAAAGCTTAAATATTTTCGATTGCTTAGTGCTGAAATATGAAGTAATGTTAAGTTTTGAGCACAAATTGATTGGTTACAGGAGATCAATAAACTTCATCTTGTTTAGTCTTATGAAGTTAGTTACCGTCCATGGACCAATCAGTGTATGTAGTCCAGTCCTATAGAAGGCCTGTCACCGCTCGATTGAATTCAGCATTCGATGGCACGTGTTCGATACTCAGATGTGACATCAGTTTTGTCAAGGTTGCAAACATGCCATGCTGAAGAGAACCAAATAGCATGAGACCTAAGTCCAGAGCTTCCGGCTGAATACCTTCATTCAGCTAATTCATTTATGCAGGCATGTCAGGATGCTGGTAACCTGAAATCTGAAGATTTTTAGAAGCGATCATATGGTAGATAGAGTATGACCAGATGGTAATCGGTTCGAAGCAATCTGCGGAAAACCCTCAACCTAAATTTTGTGCTGGTTGGCACTCGTCAGAAAGACATATCTGCAACCTCGACGGAACCAATGTCCACCTGAGATTCGGACTCGCGTCGACCAGTGTTGTAATCAACTATTTTACCACTGAGGTATTCCGGCTGCAAATGACCTCCTGTAGGACTGCGTTACATGTATTGATTTGTCACAAACAGTCTTATTATTCCAAGAGTCACTCAACTATCTATTGTTACACGGTAATATATACTCGATAACGTTTCGAACACAATTTATTGTTCATATTCATTTCAGGTAACTAACTCCACAACTTCCAGACAGACTTGATTAATTCCTAATTTCCTCTCCTTCTCTGTGATGAAAACGCTAGTAGAATTTTACATATATCTCGGACAGGTGTACAATCATTTCTGTTACTGCATGTGTTTGGTGTTGATTCAATAAACAAAGATTCATTCGGTTATCAATCTCTTGTTCCCTCCACCCAACTGAGTTAGTATTCAACACTGTCGCCCTATCCCACCCTACTGTGTGATTGTGTGTCATCGCATACAGAGCTATAGCCGAGTTTTTCTCTAGATTTCTTATCTTATTAGGATCTACTGATCTTGATTTAGCCAAGTTTTTGTGTTCTGTTATTCGAATCGACCCTGGTCGACTGCTTTGATCTATGTACTTGACCTCGTAATCATTGCAAGGAATCTGGTAAACCAGATTATTTTGCTTAATTGCATCGATAGGATGTTGTAACTTACAAAGCTTGTTTCTCAGAGAGTTTGTTGGTTTGAATGCCACTTTAATCCCAGTCGGATTTATTGAGAATTCTTCGTAGTGCTTCTGAGGTGCCTTCGTTATATGGTAACACAGCAGAGGCTTTGAATTCTCTCTTAAGCTTGTCGCAATTATTACCATTATTAGTGGGATTAATATGAATAACACCAGTAGAGTGACAGTAAGTGATATTTTCTTTTTGATACTGACATTATAGTTTGATCCCATTATCATTATCACTTTTTTATTTTTTACCGGGATTTGTTAGTAGTATATGTTGATAGTGTTGTATTCTGTGAGCTATATGGTTTGATAGTGGAGCTTTTATTAACATTCTAGACAATGAACGCTGTGTATCATTCACAGCTCGCCTTTAATTTGCTTAGTGGTTGAAGACACTTATCCAGAAGGGGGATAGTACTGTTTCATGTGTCATATCGTTCAAGATTATGTCTTAAAAATCTACTTTCACTAACTTTTAAGGAGTCAATTAAATATAACTTATAATGCTTTTTCAAATAGAAAAATGTTGTCTTTCATTGTCACTATTGCCATGTCTTTTACTGAAGAGAGAATTCAAGGCCTCTGCTGTGTTACCATATAACGAAGGCACCTCAGAAGCACTACGAAGAATTCTCAATAAGCCCGACTGCGATTAAAGTGGCATTCAAACCAACAAACTCTCTGAGAAACAAGCTTTGTAAGTTACAACATCCTATCGATGCAATTAAGCAAAATAATCTGGTTTACCAGATTCCTTGCAATGATTACGAGGTCAAGTACATAGATCAAAGCAGTCGACCAGGGTCGATTCGAATAACAGAACACAAAAACTTGGCTAAATCAAGATCAGTAGATCCTAATAAGATAAGAAATCTAGAGAAAAACTCGGCTATAGCTCTGTATGCGATGACACACAATCACACAGTAGGGTGGGATAGGGCGACAGTGTTGAATACTAACTCAGTTGGGTGGAGGGAACAAGAGATTGATAACCGAATGAATCTTTGTTTATCGAATCAACACCAAACACATGCAGTAACAGAAATGATTATGCACCTGTCCGAGATATATGGAAAATTCTACTAGCGTTTTCATCACAGAGAAGGAGAGGAAATTAGGAATTAATCAAGTCTGTCTGGAAGTTGTGGAGTTAGTTACCTGAAATGAATATGAACAATAAATTGTGTTCGAAACGTTATCGAGTAAATGGTACTGTTTCACTGTGTGTTATTTCTAATAAACAGACTAAAATGGAATTACAATCGACTACAATGCTCAAGTTTTTTTTACTTATGTTTATCTTTTGCTTATAATTCTTAGTGTAATTTTGAAACATTGAAAGGGTGTTACTGAGCGACAAAGTTTATGATTACTGTACTTAGTGGTACATAGGTGCCGAAATCGATAAGAGCTGTGTGGTGTTGATGATTTTGCAACAGTGAAGGAAGAGTATATGCTTGTATTTTGTAAGCTATCTTCTGTAATAGCAACAGAGAAAAAAATGCTGAACTACCGACTAATAACTTTACAAAGGCATTGACCAAGTACATAATCAAAATGAAGAGTTTGAATATAAAAGTATTATATTGCCCCAACCTTTGTGGAGATCTGTTACTGAATAATAGTCGTGTTATGTAAGGAGTAATGTCACTGTAGTTCAATCGGCTATGGTTTCCATAGGGTTTTAGAATATCATACTGCTGAAATAACTAGTAATATACATCACCAATCTACAAGCTTTTTGAGTAATCTAAACAGCTGATATTGTAAGATTTCTGAATGTATTCTTAACGCCAAGTCAGTAGAATAAATCTTGAATAGTTAGGTAATTAGCCATTCCAAGAAAAGTTATACTTGGATCAGTGAAGTTTTTACCATCACTATTACTAATGCATTGGAATTGGCTTCCTCTCTACAAGTTCTTATATGTCAGTCAACGGAGCGATATATGACTGAATTTAAGGTATACACCTATCCTTTCAGCTAGTTGTCTCCTTACTTCATAAGAAAGTTACTATCATTATACATTCAACCATTAAAATCTGCATAACCTATGTGGCTTTCTAAATAAGTTGAACTTAAACACTACTGACAACACTGAAGCCAATATACAATGAAGGATCTCTTCTATTGAATAGATTATTAGTTTAGGTGATAATCAATGTATAAATAATTGTTCTCATCTTAACAAGTTACTTTGTTTTGAAAAATAATTATAATATAAATTTTCTTTTCTTTTACTGATTTGTAGATTTGTATTCATTAATGCCATTAATATGTGATTAAGTATGCATAAAGATGTACATATGAGGTGAATAAACAAAATGATCTCTTCAATGTTCAATGTTTCATTATGATAATTGTTTATCTGTATAAAATTTCACAGGCTTTTGAGAATATAATTGTGTTAATCTTCATCTTAGTGAATTTATCGAATGAATAAAGTTGGTTAAGACTTTTAGTTCCAACTAAATCTGAAATATTAACGTAGGTACATTAATCTATTCATTTTAGGATTTCAATTGAAAAATGAATGTTTCATTATCTTGATAGATATCATTAGTAAGGAAATGAAAAAATCTATGAAGGAAATATTTTCATTACTCATTTTTATAAAACAGCCAAAAGTAAATAAGATTTACCTTGCAAAATTGACATTTTTAAGTGACATTAAGGAAAGTCCCAATCGATAACTGGTAAGTTAACTTGGTGGTAGTGTTTTGTATATCACTATAAGCTAACAAGCTACACACTAGCTGAAACACTCGTTCCCTTGAAGTTCTACCATAATACAAAGGTTTCTTGAATAGTGGTAAGACAAAATGGAGTTATCGTTAAACTGTAAACTGCTACACTATGATGCAACCTGGGGATAAAGTAGGACTACCAGCAGGAAGAGTTGTGACGGCAGTCAAGTGATTCAGTTGGGTGACCAACAGTATGATGCTGATATGTAGTCGAATATAGTCGGCCTCGAAAATAGGATACTCCTCCGTGCCTCATAGTTGTCTCGGGCTTGCGGAATGTGCTTCCTGTATCTGGTGATAGAACAAACAAACTTCGTGCCAGAAATCCTCCAGTGTCAGT